ACAACGTTTGAAACGGTACAGGATGCAACCGTAGCCGTCCGCATCCGGCAACTGCTTGCGCCTTCCACACTGGTATGCCACAGCAAACAAAGAGGAAAATCAGGAAAACAAGTCGCCGTCTCAATCTGAAAAAGTTCCACTTGCTCCTCATTGTCTTCAACAATTTTATACTTCCAAATAACCAAAGACCTGAACAGCTCACTATCATCCACAAGCATAGCGGTAGCAGAGAAAACCAGTATGGCCACCGAAATAATAAAAAACAAACATCATACATATACACCCTTACCGGTAACCATTTCTATGGTGTCATAATTCACACACAATCCAATTTGCTTCACACCTTCCAGCTATTTCCAGCTATTTGGGCTGAGCAATTTAATCGACTAGAATTGTTCGATTCTTCGCCCGTGGTCTGTCCCTTTGGATCCACCGTCTCGCTAAGAAGTCGAACGTGAGATCGGACTGCTGAAATCGAACAAAGCCGCGGGACCAGATGATCTTCCTCCAGCCCTCTTCAAATTCGGAGGCTCTGCTCTTGTTGACGCTTTACATGAATTACTATTGAAACTGTGGGAGCAGGAGACTGTCCCAACCGACTGGAGCCGCTCCGTTATTGTTCCCATCTTCAAAGGCGGCTCGCGCTCGGAATGCGGCAACCATGGAGGAGTTAGTCTGAACTCCATCGCCTCCAAATTACTCGCCTCCATAATTATTCACAGACTGACTGGCGCTCGTGAAAGCCAGATTCGTGAGGAGCAAGCCTGGTTTCGTCGGGGTCGTGGCTGCATCGACCACACCCTCACCTTGCGTCAGTTGTTGGAGCACCATCACACATATTGGCGGCCCACCATAGTCGTGTACCTCTACATCAAAGGTGCCTTCGATTCGGTTGATCGATGTGCCCTTTGGAATTGTTTACTCAGGAAAGGTGTGCCCGAGAAATATGTAAATATTATCCAAGCATTATATTTGCGTAGCATGGGCAAATTGAGGGCTTGCGGCAAGCTGTCACCACCCTTTAATACCTCCAGCGGTGTGAGACAAGGATGCTCGCTGTCACCTTTCCGCTTCAACTTCGCTATTGACGAAGCCATGGAGTTTGCATTTACAGGACATGACTTGGAAGGTGTGGAGCTACTCCCAGGAGAACGATTTCTTGACTTGGAGTATGCATACGACCTTGCCCCCATCTGTGACAGCTCAGACGTGCCAAGCCGAGCTGGACAGATCAGCACTGGCTGTCAGCCCCTTCGGGCTTTGCTTTGCACCATCAAAGTGCAAAGCGTTCCTCCAAGATTGGCAGGGATCGCCTCTTTCGCTGGCCATTGGTGGGGATCAGCTAGAAGTCGTTCAAAAATTCAATTACCTGGGAAGTTGTATCAGCGCCTTTGGGATCGTAGACGAGATCACGAACCGTATAGCAAAACCTCGGACTGCTTTTTGCTAACGTTCGCCACCTATGGCGGCGGCGCGTCATTACACTCGCCCTGAAGGGTAGAGTGTATAATGCAGAGGTACGTTCGACCCTACTGTACGGTTGCGAAACCTGGCCCCTAAGGTCGGCGGACTTGAAGAGGCCAGCTACGTTCGACCATCAGTGCCTCCGCAGTTTGGCGCACATATAGCGGGAACACCGCGTGAGTAACGAGCATGTTAGATGCATGGTTTACGGCCCCGGAAAAGGATCTGAACTGCTCAGCACCGTTATTTTCCGCACCAGGCTCCGATGGCTCGGCCACGTGTTACGCATGCCAGCCCACCGACTCCCTCGACGTGCGTTGTTTGCCCACCGAGGTTGTGGGTGGAAGAAGAGGCGAGGTGACCAAGCGATGACTTGGTTCAGAGGAATGAAGTCCATCACCTCGGAGCTAGCCTCAGTTGGAGCTTCACGGTTCGCTGGTTGGGGTCCAAAAGACGGTGAAGACGTTTGGCTGGATACACTTGCTGACAAGGGAAGGAGCCGATCTCAGTGGCGTTCCTGCGGTGAGTTTCATTGTCCCTCCCCATCCCTCTTAGTCTTTCCTCCATCTACGATCTTATTTCCTAGGGTAAAACAAAAAATGTTTCTTTCTTTTTGCCTAGTAGCTGGCTGGAAGCTTGCCGGAACGATGCCTATCCGTTGCTGGTAGCTCAGCTGGCATGCATCTGTTGTATCTATTTTTCCTTTGTGTATCCTATTAAATGTATGTGTGTATGTGTTTCTTTCATGTATTGCGGCACAATAGCAGGGGTGTTTTCCCGCCTTTAGCTGATGTGTATAATAATAACAATAATAATTTCCAGCTATTTGCACATTCGTCCTCCTTGGCAACGTCGCTAGCTAACCTTGTTGTTATGCACCATTTGTACCACGCTTTGTACGCTTTATAGCCATAGAAACAGGTTTTTAATATTTGTAGTAAAGAATTTTACACTTATCCATGGCAAATGACATTCGCCACAGTTAGCACCAGGACTTAAGCCCAGATAGCTCACTGTGACTGTGATGTGCGGCTTCCTGCGTATTTGCCCGTTCTTGTAAGTGGACAACTTTAATGTCATCAGCCAAGATAAAGGTAACGCCGTTTCTTAGTAGCTGTAATATGTCGTTAATATCCATTAGCAGAAGAGGGGCAGGAACAGTCCCTTGAATGGCTCCAATGGTGATTGCTTTCAGTTTAGAGCAATGGTCGCCAATGTACACTACCTGCTATCGACTAGTTAGATATGAAGATTGCCAAAGAGGGGCCTCAAGGCACCAATGCATATGGCCCTAAGTTTGTTCATTTAGCTTCTATGAGTTACTTTATCAAAGGCTTTTTGAATATCCGAAAACATAATTACAGCAATATTCGTTGTCCACGGTAGCCTTTGTGTGGGTTTAAGGGTCTGCCTGACATGTTGCGCATGGTTGACCCTGCATGAATCCGTGCTGCAAAGGGCTAATGAGGTTCAGACATCTTAACGAATGCAAATAGTTCACCTTTCACTATGCTTTACATTATTTTAGGTACAAATAGTGTGTGATTGATAAGACAAAATATTTTAATCTCGCGAGCGGTGCTAGTTTTGTGTCACGGGATACCGACGAACGTTTTTATTGAGTAGGGTATACCCCATTTTTAAACAGTATAAAGCCGTCAAACAAAGTCAGAGTAGTAGCTGCTATTGATTTTTATTAAACAAAGTGAACTCCAACAGGGCCTGGGCCAGCTGAGGAGAAATGGGTTAGACCTGAGCAGCGATTTTTGCTGTATTGAACGCCAGTGTGACGACTCGCTGTCCGTCTGCCGCCTCCTCTGGTTGGATGACAATGTCTGATAACACTAAAATGAGTCCATAAGTTGTAGGGTGATTTCTGTTTGTCTGAATAGAAGCGAAAAATTTCCACTCAGTTTAAGGCATCAAAGTCGTGTTGTCATTTCTTGACGAAGCGCACTAACGTGGACCAAAATTTAGACTAATCCAACTTATCCAAACGTTTGACTGAATCACGGGGAATGCTGATCCTCAGCAAACCAAAAATTCCCATTTATTAGAATGAATCAAGGGAGGCAGAATTTGAGTAAAGAATTCTTTTCGGCAATTCTCATCAGACTCAAACATTACATGATGAGGAAAAATGCTAAATGTGCCGGATTGGGCTGCGTATTGAACACAATGTTTAATTTCATGGGTACAAATCAATAAATCACGGGGTCATTGTAGGTGGCAAGTATGTACAGGGGAAATCACATCCGAAGTTGTAGGCCACGGTAGAAGTAAAGGACGTACAAACTGTTTTTGCACGCATAATTCTGGCTTGAGATGGCGGATGTAGATAGCTTCCGCGATAGACAGAAGATGCATCCGGAATCCGCGCGTGAAACGTTCAGGAACAGTATAGATGACTCTAAAATCGTTTTCCGTTCCTGCGTGACTGCACTCCAGAAGGTGAGATAGGATGGAACTGTTACTCGACGTCGCTTCGCCTTTGTAAAACCATTTTGGGATGTGTTCGCGAATCCTATGAGATAGGCGTCTCGTGGTACGACCCACGTATCGTGCCCCACAGGAGCACGAGTAAAGATAAACAAGCATTGATCGGGTCACCGGAGGCAGCCTGTCTTTCAAAGGTTTTGCGAATAAAGGCTTGTTGTAAAATACTATGCGTAGGCGAGCCGCAAAATAGGTCTTTTCAACAGTTTCTCTCAGGCGTTTGGAAAGGGCATCAGCCGCACTGTCGCCTTTGAAAGGAATGTGCACGATTAGTTCTTTTTTGGGTACGTTCATCCTCGGTGGTTTGATCTTGCGTTCTTTCAAATGTTTGAGGATGAATTTATCTGGATACCCATTCGCTCTTAGCGCATCGCTGATTCTCTGCAATTCCTTGGTGATTGTGTCCGGGGTGCAAATTCTATGTGCCCGGAACGAAAGAGAGTGCGGACTAGGTTTCGTTTGTACTGTATGGGTACCGCACTGATAGAATGTTGATTACTGTCCAGGTCCAAGTTGGTTTTCTATTACACCCTCTGCTGCACGATCTCATCGGCGTTTCTGATGATATGCAACATCCAGGAACGGTAGTCGGTTTCTGGATTCCGTGCTCACATGTGAATTGTAGATTCTGATGCGACATCATTAAAGCTGTCCAACAGTTTCACAGTCATGCGCTTTCGATTTTGCAGTGTATAAGTATGTATCGTCTACATAACGTACTTATACATCTCGAGACTTCGATTGAAATGTGCGTGTCTTAAGACGTTAT